TCCAGTTCTATGCTGTTTTTTTGTCAGACTGAGTTTGCGTGGGTCTTGTGCATGCTGTCACCGTTGTTGCAAGTTCATGTGAGAAAGTTCTCAGAAGCCTGGAAGACTCTTGTTTCCTTATGGTTAGGCACCAACCTGTGCTCTTACAATCTTCCCACTCCCCTCTTCCACAACAGTCCCTGTGTCATGGGTGGGTGAGGTTTAATAAATGAGTCCTATATAGGGACATGCACTCTGCAGTCTCTTATTCTCTATACCTTGGCTAGTTGTGGCCTTCTGTGTGTATCTCAAGTTATCCCTTTTAAGATGTAAAACTACTCATGTCCCTCTTATGTTTAAAATATTGTATTGGGTCATTATCCTACATACCAGAGGAAACATATTTCATTCCATTTACAGAATAGTAATTTTGAAAACTTAGTAATTTTGAAAACTTAGTATTTTTTTTTTTGTCTTTTTGTGACAGGGTCTCCCTGTAGCCCCAGCTGTCCTGGAACTCACTATAGAGACCAGGCTGGCCTTGAACTCACAGAGATCCACCTGCCTTTGCCTCCTGAGTGCTGGGATTTAAAGGTGTGCACCACCATGCCCGGCTCCAACAATGGGAAGTTTTGATAACACATGGAATCCTAGATTTCTGACTTCTCTTTTTAAAGAAATTTTTATTTTATGTATATGAGTATTATGTCTGTATGTATGTAAGTGCACCCATATAGTGCACTGTCTGCGGAGGACAGGAGAGGGTGTTGGATCCCCTGGAACTGGAGTTACAAATGGTTGTTAGCCACCATGGGGGTGCTGAGATTCAAACCCAGGTCTTCTGCAAAAGCCATCTTAACCGTTGAGCCATCTTTCCAGCCCGATTTCTGGCTTCTCTTGAGAAATAAGGAAGATCTAACTTGCATGTGGTTATTATAGGCCAGTGTCTCAAAGTGGCCTGTATTCATCCTCCAGTCAGATCAGTGCCCTCTGTGCCCTATTTCCTGCACTCAGCTGAATTTCTCATCTACAGAATGCCCTATGCCTGGGGACACTAGTTAGAAACTCCTGTTCTAAAGTCCTTTTCCTTTTTTACAACTCTCACCTTCATAAATGTTCATCTTCTCCTCCTAGAGGTCTTTTCCTCATTCTCCGTCCTCAGCAGGCCCTTCAGACACTCCTACACATCCTTCAAGAACCCATGAAAGTGCCCTTCCCTGGAAGCCTGTCATCATCACCTATCTGAGTGGGACAGACCTCCTATTATTATGAATATTTTAATATTCAGCCCACTTCATCTGTCATCTCCTGGGAAGCAGAGTAACATATTTTTTCCTATTTTTAGCACAACACCCACAGTTTAAACTTCAATAAATGTTTTCAGACTAAATATATACCTGCTAGATGAACATGGTGACACTACTGATGGGGGTATTTATTGTGAGTTAAAAAGCGCTACTAAAAGAAGAGTTTTTAGCCATAGAAGAGGATAATTTAAATGATCTATTACATGAAACTTTCTGGAAATGATAGATGGGACTAAAAACTTCTGAATAAGAAAATATTAGATTGCAGGGTGCATATTGGGGAGTATGGAGAGGAACCAGAGCAGATTCGACAAAGGGGGATCTCTGAAGTTGCAGGCGAGGCTCAGGGAGCTTCCTTTTTCCCATAAGGCCTTGTTACACTGTGCTTTCTATGTAGGAAAGATGTACAAATAACATCAGAGGTTTGGTGTCTAGCATCATTTCAGTTCCAGAATGGCTAAAGTGCTCTAAAGAGAAACAGTTTGAGTAATGAAATTGGTAAAATTTTATGGAAGACGCAGGGGAGATAGAACACTTACCTGAGTCATGAATTATTCATGCTTCGCTGGAGAACAATGAGGCAGAACTTTGGCTTTTATTACTGCTTCTGATACAAAGTGATTAGTTTTAATTTTAGATGATTGCACATGCTTATGTAATACACTAAATTCTCTTTGGATATTAACATTTTTGTTTTGACCACTCCAATTTGAGACAATTTACTTGAGGTTATAAAATTGTTTCTTTCTAATGAATGCGTTAGAATTGAATATTAAGATATATGGAAGGCTTCTTCCCAGTCCTCATGGTTAATCAAATAAAGTAATTTTTGTTACTGATGCAGAACCAGAGATGAATGATCTTTGAACAGAAATTAGATTAAAATGGCACAGTCATCTGAAGCACAAGAGATATGTACATTCTTTGCTAATATTTATTACAAGAGAGCCTGCTTGTTTTCAAACATTGATTGGAGAGATACTGGCTCTGCAATGACAGTTAAATTAAATTTATCACAAGTTCAACCCTGAAAGCTAGAAAAGTAGTTTGGCTATTTCCCCACAACTAAAATATTAGCTATTGTGAGGAGAACAGAAACAATTTAACATCAGAGCTGTTTATTGCAGTCAAATATATTTAGCTATGGATGTCCCGATCGGCTGATCAACTGGGGTTTTGATTCAGAATTTCTTTGATGATCTTGAGTACTCTGTTTGCTTTCAAGCTATAGGGAGGGGTAGTTGTCCCTTAAGGACAATAGAACTGCACTAAAGTAGTTCTATTCATATTATTACTATTCGGGCCCAAAAATGAAATGAATCTCAGAAGAGAAATAGAAAATTCTTCCTATGATCCATAACTCCCAGTGCTAGAGGGAAAGTCAAAAGGGTGGCAGCAATCAATTAAAAGGAAACTAGGTGGATTATTTTTACGTTAACCAAATGGTATCAATAGAAACTGAACATTAAAAATCTTGATTTTAGTATTAAAATGATGATAATTTAAAATTTTTAATTCTATTATTTTTATTTTATGTGTATGAGTGTATTGCCTGCGTATATGTGAGTGCACCCGTGCCGTGGAGGTCAGAAGACGGCTTCAGATTCCCCTGGAACTGGAGTTAAGGACGGTTTGTAGCTGCCATGTGGGTGCTGGGAATCAAACCTGGGTCCTCTGCAAGAGCAGTCAGTGCTCTTAACCACTGAGCCAACTCTCCAGCCCCAAAATGATGATAATTTTAATTTCACAATTTCAATACCCTGGATTAACAACTGCTCCAAGACAGTTGTATGAGATAATGGAAGTCAAAGTATAACTTCAGCTGTGAGGTACTAAATGTGTACATGCATCTATTTATTTGGGGTTTTTTTTGAGACAAGTTCTCACTATGTAGTCCTGGCTGGACAAAACTTGCTATGTAGACCAGTTGGCCTCAAACTTACAGTGATTCTCTTGACTCCTGAGTGCATGTGCCCTAATGCCTAGAGTCTAATTATGTACTAAAAAAGCAAAATAGGGGCTAAGGGTATTGCTCAGTAGTAGAGCATTTGCCTACGAAGTGTAGAAACCTTGCATTTGAGTCTCAGCAAAGATAAATATTAAATTAAAAAAAAACAAAAATCCTCTTAATAAAGAGCTAAAAGACCTTTAAAAAACAATGAGCCAGGTGTGGTAAAACAGGCCTTTAATCCTAGCACTTGGGAGGCAGAGGCAGGCAGATCCTGTGAGTTGGAGGCCAGCCTGGTCTACATGGTGAGTTCCAGGCCAGCTGGGGCTACACAGAGATCCTGTCTCAAAAAGATCAGAAAAATTTTTTTTATTTTCTGTTGATAATACAGTAACTGTACATACTTATGGGGTACCATGTGACATTTTAATACAAGATGGTTGTGGTGATTTGAATGAAATTGTCCCCCATAGGCTCCAAGTGTTTGGACATTTTGTTCCCAGATGATGGCACTGTTTTGGGAGGTTTTAGAAGGTATGGCTACCCTGGAGGAAGCATGTCACTTAGAGAGTTCGTAAGCCTTGCCAGATTTCCAGTCGCTCTTTTGCTTCCTGTGCCTGTGTGATGATGAGAGAGCTTAGTTTCTGCTGCTCCTGCTTCAGCCACCTTCAGCCACCATGCCTCCCTGCTATGACAGGCTGTAATTCCCCTGGAACTGTAAGCTCAAACAAACTCTTCATTCTATAAATTGCTTGGGTTAGTGTTTCTATCACAGCAACAGAAAAGTGACTAATACATAATTGGTACCAAGAGTGGGGTGTTGGCTGTGAAGAACCTGATCATGTGGGGTTTTGAAGAAGTTTGGAAGACTTTGGAAGGTTGGGCTAGAAAAGTGGTTGATTGCTGTAAGCAGAGCTTAACAGGCCATTCTAGTAGGGGCCTGGAAGAAAGTAGTGCTGAGAACAATGTAGTTCTGGAGGGACTACAGAATAAAAGGAATGTAAATATGTGGGGGGAGGCACTTACAAATGACCTTCAACCCTGGAATTTCATAAAGGGTGTTTTTTCAAAATTCTTGTGGCAGCCTGAATCTGAAGAAAAAGTTTCTAGTTTTTGTAAACTATAGAAAGAAGTTTGAAATACCTCAGCTTGCAGAAAATGATCTTATTTTCACCTTGATATTAAGCATTTTGAAACAAAAAGGCATATTTAGTTCAAACTATATTAAAGAAATAATTGTATACCCAAACATGTGTTATTCATTCTGGGATCACCTGATAATGTCTGCCATTTCCTCCAGATAAATTCTAAATATATTTGTTATGACTTAATCGTGGTTTTCATATGAAAAAGGAATATATTCTCACCAACCACATCAATCAACATTTCTTTAAAACCCCCCTTTGATATAGGGCAGAAGTCAACAACCTATATTATTTAGGGTCAAGATGGCCCAACAGTCACTTTTTCGTTGCCTTCAGCATGTCTCTGGCCACCAGTGCACGTCTACTGTCTCTGTGTCCTTGACATTTTGTGTTTTCTGACAGCACAAAGTGAAATGCTGTCTCCTTTCCTGTCTGGGGAGTTGTCATGGCAATATCACATGGTAATATCAATACTTCATGACAAGTAATAGCTTACCCCTACAATCAGAATTAATAATTAGTCCACCACTGTTTATGCCCCACCCATAAACTGGATTAGTTATGATCCATCCATCTCTTCCTTGTTTTCCACCCCCACACTCTGAAAATCAAAGCCTGTCATAGAGGAATGACCTTTGGAAAGACATTGGAAGGACAGTGCATTCACTGGAGAGATGAGATTCACCAGACCATTCCACTGCTTAACCATCAGATGTCCTGTTTTCTCTAAGGGAGAAGAAAGTCCTTGGTAACATACTTCCTCTCAATAATCATTTAAAAAATAAGGTTGCTTTTTGCTTACTTCATGATGATTTCTGGAAGAAAAGAGCTATGCACTTGTAAGAGGTATGACACATTTCTTTATAGCATTTGTGAAGAGGATTACCAAGTTGAATAATGCTTGGTAATTATTAAACCAAGGGCAAAAATGAACAATTGGTTACCAGGAAAAGAAAACCAGAAAAATGCCTGAAAGCTCTCTGTTCTTCTGGACTTTTAAATCCTCACTGAGAGTTCCATTTATGGTTTTAGAAGGGATCCAAAACTGAGGTGAGGAATTGGAGAGATGACTCAGCAGTTAAGAGCAGTGGCTGGTTGTTCAGAGGATGGGGCTTGATTCCCAGCACCCATATTGTGGCTAACAACTTGTAACTCCAGTTCTAGGGGATTCAATGCCCTTTTTGTCCTCTACAGGTACTGTACACATGTTGTGTACTTACATACATGCAGGAAGAACACTCAGACACATAAAAATACAAATAAATAAAACAAAATGAAAACTAAGGTAAGAGAAGGTGGCCACACTCAGCTTAGTGGATGTCACCTAAAAGTTACTTTATAAATTTAAAAAATATTTTTAGATACACACACAGAGAGAGAGAGACCCCTCTTTCTTAGATTTTTGATAGTGACAAGAAATCTACAAACTGTGACATCTGAAAATGTGCAAAGTGCTTAGAATGAGTCAATAGCTCAGTATTGTGAGGTGTCTGATGAGGACAGGCTCTGAGAGAATTTGACAATTTATGAAAGAGGGCCTATGTGTATAAAAACTACTCAAGGAAACTCATTTTAATGATACCTTAAGATGTAGTCTGAGAAAACAATTCTAAAAAGCTCTAATATGTTGGAGGCAGAAAATAAAATAAGAAGCAGCAACACCCAAGTCCTGTGTAGAATAGAATCCATGATGGCACAATTCATTCATTCATTGTAATTCATAAACATTTATTTTTAAAAATATTTATTATTTTTATTTTATGTGTATGAATGTACTGCTGGCATGCATTTAAGTACACCCATGTTGTGCAATGCTCACGGAGGTCAGAAGAGGGTGTCAGATTCCCTGGAACTGGAGTCATGGACAGTTGTTAGCCCCATGTGGGTGCTGGGAATCTAACCCAAGTCCTCCACAAGAGCAGCCAGTGCCTTTAACTGTTGAGTCATCATTCCAGCCTCCCATAAACATTTATTGAGAGTGTACTATGAGTCAAGCACTGTTAATCCATTAAGTGACTAACATCATTTCTGAAAGTGAGACTCAGATGAGGAAAGAAGGACATGTTGTCAAATACTTAGACTTCATGCTGGTAATGGCCCATGTTAAGTATAATATATGCAACCTGCTCAGAAAACAAAGTGATTAATGTATGTTAGACATTGCCAGATCTAATTCTATAATAAATCACTCCCTAGAGATCTTTCCATGTCCTTCCTGAAGGGCTATCAGAGATGATGCTGAGGGTGTACTGTCAGGGCCCCTGCATATGGCTGTAGACTACACTAGGCATCACTATGTGTAATATGCTCTGGTGGCAGGCAATGTACCATAAGACCATACATGGTGGTGCTCTGCCTAGCAGATTCTGAACTTGCAACTTATTGAAAAAACATACGAATGGATATATATGTAGAGGGGTGGTTTATAAAGTAAATAAGTTATTAGGTAGAAGAATAAGGGGGCTGGTGTGGAGGTGTGATGGTTAATATTACTTGTCAACTTGACAGGCTCTAGAATGGTCTAGGACACAAACCTCTGGGCATGTCGAAGGGAGTTTCTAGATTGGGTTAACTGAAGTAAGAAGACCCATCCTAAGTGTGGGTGACACCATTCCATGGGCTAGAGTACAGGATTGAATTAAAAAGGCAGGATGTGAGCTGAGCGGCAGCAGCAGTCACTGCTCTTGGCTTCCTGACTGTGAACATAATATCACCAGCTGCGTCATGTGCACAATTTTGTGAATCCACACTGTGGTGGAATTCTCCCCCTCAAACTGTAAGTCAAAACAAACCCTTTCTCCCAAGTTGCTTCTTTTAGTTATTTGGTCACAAGAAAAGGAGGTAAGGCAAATTTGTCTAGATTAATATAAAGTCTTCTATATAATGATAGAAATAAAGTCATTTTTAGTGGCAAGAAATATTTTAAAAGAAACTTAACAGGCACTATCCAAAACCCATATGAAATACATTTTCTTTATTTATTTTTATTTTATATGTATGAGTGTTATGTCTGCATATGTGTAAGTGCACCCATGTTGTGCCGTGTCCATGGAGGACAGAAGAGAGCATTGGATTCCCTGGAACTGGAGTTATGGATGGTTGTTAGCTGCCAAGTGGGTACTGGTATTCAAATCCAGGTCTTCTTCAAGAACAGCCAGTGCTCTTATCCCCATGAGCCATCTCTTCAACCCCATGAGATAAAAATTTAAACATTCCCCAAAACATAAACATAGACTTGAACAAATGCAAAGTGTAACTTTATTGTTGATTTGGAAAGCTCATGGCATTCTCCCTACATAGGTTATTAGTTAATTCAGCCCCTATAAAGAACCAAAAAGCTTTGATATGGAGGTAGATGCAATTAAGAATTGCAAGTATTAGGGCTGGAGAGATGGCTCAGTGGTTAGGAGCACTGACTGCTCTTGCAGAGGACCCGGGTTCGATTCCCAGCACCCACATGGTGGCTACAAACCATCCTTAACTCCAGTTCCAAGGGAATCCGAAGCCCTCTTCTGACCTCTGCAGCATTGCATGACATGGGTGCACTCATATACATAGAGGCAATACACTCATACACATGAAATAAAAAAAATAATAATAATAATACTAAAGAATTGCAAGTATTGAGCAACCATGTGATTTTTGTCCTTGAGTCCATTTGTATGATTTATAACTTTTATTGACTTACACATATTGAACTATCCCTGCATTTCTGGAATAAGGCTGACTTGATTATGGTGGATGATCTTTTTAATGTGTGTCTGTATGTGGTTGCAAGTATTTTGTTGAGAATTTTTGCATCTGTGTTCATTAAGGATATGGGTCTGAAGTTTTCTTTTTTCTATCTTTACATAGGAGGAGTTTGGGAGTTCTCCTTCTGTTTCTATCTTTTTGAATAATTTAAATAATATTGGTTGTAGATCTTCTTTAAATGTCTCATAGAATTCTGCTGTGAATCCATCTGGGCCTGGACTTTTTTAGTTGGGAGGTTTTTTATTGCTATTTCAACTTCCTTATATGTTATGGGTCTATGTAAGCTGTTGATTTCTTCTTGGTTTAGCTTTAGTGGTTCCCATGATTTTAGGTATTCATCCATTTCTTTTAGGTTTTCCAAAATTAATAGAGTATAGCTTTTTAAAGTATAGTCTAATAATGTTCATTCTTCAACAGAATTATAGTTAGCCCCCAAAGAGCAGAAAATTTCACTGATATCTTAATTATTACAGAACATAAGAAAAAAAAGTAAAGCTTCCAAATTCTTTTAATAAAACAAGAAAATATTGACACTAAGGCCCAAGTATGATGGAAGGAAGGGAGGGAGGGAGCTTTCTTATGTAAAAGTCTTCCTATGTTTATGTTATAGATATAAAAAATGATCAAAGCTCAGCAGTACATTAAAAGAACAATGTCGCCGGGCATGGTGGCACATGCCTTTAATCCCAGCACTTGGGAGGCAGAGGCAGGCAGATCTCTGTGAGTTCAAGGCCAGCCTGGTCTACATAGTGAGTTTCAGGACAGCTTTTTGTTCTTCAAAAAGAACAAAAAACAAAACAAAACAAAAGAATGTCAGGATCAAGTAACATTTTATCTGAAAGTATAAGAAAAATTCAACATCAAAAAATGCATATTACTAATAAAAAATAAAGAAATTTTATGATCATCTTTAAAGATGCTAAACATGTATTCACTGTCCATATTCATAAAGAATCAACAAACGAAATAGGAATCAACAGATATATGTATCATGTTAAAGAATCCACTTCCAGCTTAAGATGATATCGTTTTAAGATTGTACCCTTGAAACGGTCTCCATAAATGGGCAAGAAAAAGCTATCCATCACTTAACATTGTTAGTGCAGCTAAAAATGACAAAGAAAGTTAACAAATAAACATCAAGAAAAAGGAAGTAAAAATATTGCTTACAGATACAGTGAGAAGTATAGGAAACACAAGACAATCAGTTGGAAAAATTGTAAAAACCAAGAGAATTCAGTAAGACAGTAGATACAAAATTGTATAGGAAGTGTATACTTCATTTATTCAGCTGACAAGCAACTCTGTCAGCCCCCTACTGGCAGAGGTCCAGCATTTCCAGTAATACCATTGGGCTTTTCTATCACATTAATCCATTTCAGACTGAGTGAGCCAAGCCTATAATCTGGCTTTTCTTTCAAGTAACTTTCAAGATTTTTCACTGTAATTGTATCTCTCCATTTTCTCTAGTCTTTATTTCTGGAACTTCAGTTAGATACACATTGGACATCTTTTTTCCTGCATCCTATGTCTACTAATATCTAATTTATATTTTCTCATTATCTTTTTTAGTATTTAAATTTTAAAAAGTTTATGGATGGCTTAGTGGTTAAGAGCACTGGCTGTTCTTGCAGAGGACCTAGGTTCCATTCCCAGCCCACATGGCAGCTAACAACCCCTGTAAGTCCAGTTCCAGGAGATCCAACTCCCTCTTCTGACCTCTGTGGGCATAGCACAACACAGGTGCACCTATCTATGTGCAGGAATTACAATCATACACATAAAAATAATAAATAAAAATTTAACATTTATGTTTATGGGTGTTTTGCTTGCATGTATATAAGTGCATCTGTGTGTGCAATGCCCACAAAGGCCAGAAGAGGGCGTTGGATTTCCTAGAACTGGAGTTACAAGTGGTTGTTAGCTGCCAGGTGAGTGCTGGGAATCAAACCTAAGTCCTCTGCAAAACAGTGCTCTTAACTGCTGAGCCATCTC